AGGTGCGCATGGGAGAGTGGAAATGGTGTAAATGCATCTAGTTAAACGTACTATTATTATTACTATTATTATTATTATCATTATTATATTAACATATATGTGTACCTGTTTCGGAAAGCTTGTATTTAGATGTTTGACCTTCCGTTCTCTTACACAGCCTTATGCTTTCTCGTTTTACTTAAAAATGCAATCACATTGAAAAAATGTCACAGAAAGTGATGGTTGTCTCATGCGACGGCTAAAAACCACCACCATAGTAACCCTCTGATGTGGGAAAGGAATTTTTTTTCCTACCATGAGTGTATTTCTTTTGTGTGGAAGAAATAACCAAAGCAAAGGGACAGAAAGAGTATGTCGCATCCCATGATACGCAGATTCTCAGGAGAGCGAGCCCCGTCGCCAACCCCTTCCATCTGGGGAGTGCTTATCGCACAGACCGCCCCCAGCGGTGAAAACGGTCTGCTCTCGGCCTTGCGAAGGCAACCATCAGAGGATGACGTCAAGGGGTTTCTGCAAATTCACGGGACCGGAGGCGGACTGGTTGAAGCGCTGCCAAGTAATCAATACAAGCGCGCCGTCCTTTTTGAGAGTTGGGATCGGTTCCCACCGCCTGGCACCGCCCCGGCAGGTAGTTGCACCGGCGACAGCGATGGCGAAGCCTCCGTGTTAGGCTCTCTGGGGTGCTTGTCGGGCTTTCTCCCGCTTCTTCTTGCACTTCGCGGCGATGTGGTGCGCATTGGCCGGCTGTCGAGCAACGATATCGTCCTCGCGGGTAATCCGTACATCAGCAGCGTCCACTGCGCCCTGTTTCTCACATCGACGTTGGAGAGGGCGTCCTTAGCAAAGAGGGGCAAATCGCATCATCTGGGCACCGCCGTGGCTGCTGGTGGCATTGAGGTAACCTTCTCGGACTACAGCACCAACGGCTGCCATATCAACGGCGTGAGGCTTGGGAAGGGCAAGGCGTACACGTCACTCCGCTCCGGCGATATCGTGGAGCTCGTGAACGCGGGGGAGGACTGTACGGAGGCTCACAACGTCAAGCTCCTCTATCTTGACCAGCCTGGCTTTGCTAGGTGGCTGGCTGAGAACGCGGGAGAGGTGCAGGGGGCATCCGTCGACAGAGTTCAGGGCTGTGGTGGAAACGACAAACTCCCACAGCGGGAGGAGACCCGCCCGCCGTCTCGCACCGGTCAACGCTACAAGGAGGTGATGATCCGGGCGCGTTTGGATGTGGTCGCGCAGGTGCGGCGCATGTACAACCACGACGTGGAGGACTTCTACGTGTTGGACAAGCGAGCACCGCCCGGGGAGGGTGCCTTTGGGAAGGTCTACGCTGGCGCCTTGAAGCCGATGGCGTCTGACGCGAATCAAAAGGGCCACCTCGTGTCGTTTGCAGGGTAGTCTGATGCTTGCGCGTGGACGGCGGGTCATGAAGTGGACCTTGAGGAGGCGTACGTGGCATCCAAAGTGCAGGAGCCCCCGGCATCGGTGCTGGCCGCCACGCGACATGGAGCCAAGCGCGCTCGTCCGCTGAGCGGGGAAATGACGGACGCCTCGAACCTGGCGTTGACGCTGGAGGTGGGGGCATTGCAAACGCCGCATCCCGGACCTTGCGAGTCCGTCATCTTTCCTTTTGCAGTGAAGATTATTGACAAGAAACATATATGCCCGACGGTGCTGTTCGCGGACTCTCAGGATGACGTCGCGAACGCCCTTCACGGGCTTCTCGCGCTGGAGACGCAGCGGGATGAGTACGCGCGTCGCCGAGAGCACGACTGGGCTAAGAAAGCGATCGCCACCGCGCAGCTCTTTCGACGGAGTTCAGACCCAACCGCCGCGAAGGACCCGCAGACGGGCGTCGAATCCGTTCAGGTCGGCAGGCTGGCGATGGAGGGAAGTCCATCTGTAGACCGATCCCGGCGTAGCGAAGACGCTGCTCGGACCACGCCACTCCACAACGCCCCGACCACGCTGGAGGAGGATGGGTATCCGGAGTCCTCGCAATCGTCGTTCACGCAGCCGGAACGTGAGCTTCAGGCCGTCCGCGAGCGCCAACGGCATCGCCTGCTCGCCTACCTCCCCTCCGAGCTGCGGCGGGAGTACACGAGGGAAGTCCGTCGCCGTCGCCAGCAGCAGTGCGAGGTGAACATCCTTCTTACCATCCAGCATCCGAACGTTACGCGGGTGTACGAGGTGTTCGACAGCGCCGATCGTCTGGCGTTGTTGATGGAAAGGGTAACCGGCGGGGAGGCGTTGGAGCTCCTCCAATCCACGCCCCCCCCTCCGGACGTTCTCGACGATGGCGACGGGCTCTATGCAGGGGGCCCGCTGCCGGAGTTCGTCGTGAAGATGATCATCGTCCAGGTCCTCGAGGCGGTGCATTATATCCACTCCATGGGCATCATCCACCGGGATCTGAAGCTGGAGAATTTGCTCAAGCAGCCATACCGCGTGCCGGTTTTGTGTGCGCGGCAGCTGGAGGTGTTCTGTTGGAAACTGGAGCGACTCCTCCACCTCGGTGTGGCGAAGAAAGAAGAAGAGGAGGAAGAGGCGGCGGCAGCGGCAGCGGCGATGGACTCTGCGATGGGGTCAATCGACGCGCACGGCAACCCTTTTTCCCTCCTCCACACCGTCCACCTCCCACGAGGGCTGTGGCCGGTCGTGAAGATCACCGATTTCGGCCTTTCTCACATCCACCCGACGCGTGGGGTGGAGTCTTCCCAGGCCGATCCCGCGCGCTCCTTCTACGCGGAGAATCTCATGAAAACGGCGTGTGGCACCCCTGTCTACGCCGCGCCGGAGATCCTCCGGCCGGAGCTCCGCGCCGGGCAACGGGGGTACTCCGCGGCGGTGGATCTTTTTTCGGTGGGCGTCATCGCCTACGCGTTGTTGACGGGGCGGACGCCGTTTCCCATCCGCGCGGACCCCTCCCAGCGTCGGTTTCCCTCGAAATTGCCGGAGATCGACTACGACGCGGTGCCGTCGTGGGAGCGCTATCGGAGACTCCACGGGGAGGACGAGGGGAGCTTCTATGGGAGCCCGTGCATGCCGCTCCCGACGCTCGCGCTGGCGGAGCCGATTTCGTGCAGGGGGGGCGGTGCGGGCGAGGAGGAGGGGGATGGGGGGGCGCGGTGGTTTCGCGAGGCCCGCCGCACGCGGCCATCGCCCACCGCGGTGGAAACGATCCTCCACGCCCTGCGCGATCACGCGCGCGAGCGACGTGGGAAGCGGCTGGAGCTGGATCTTGAGCGTTGGGTGGTCGCCTCGCATCGCGCGCAGGGGTCTTCAGGAGGGGGGGGGATTCTTTTGCTTCGTGGGTGGCGTCCGACCTCCCCGGGCGGCGCGCGCTGCCGCCGATCTCCTCCCTCGGGCGGTCTTTTCTCCGGGCGCTTCTGAAGCCTCAGCCGACGCGGCGGATGACGGCCTGGGAGGCGCTTCGTCATCCCTGGCTGCGCGATTGCCTCGACGCGGGGGAGGGGGACGGTTTGGGGGTGAGGGGATGCTGAGCGAAGAGGGGAGGGGGGGGATACTTGGGTAAAGTCTCGTGGAAGATTATCGTTACCATTATTATTGGTGTTCGTTAATAAAGAAGGGAGGAAGGGGGAGGGGTAGCATCATGCACTTTGGTGGTGTACGTGTATGTGTGTGCTTGTCTGAATACCTGACTGCATTGTCGCGGCCTGTTGGACACACCCTCTGCCCTCTTTGGGGTGGCCCCACCTTTTTTTTTAATTTTCCTTCATTACAGCGGAGATTCAATAGAAAGGTATTTTTTTTTGCTATTCTTTGTCTTTTTGTAGTAATATTCCTGAATCAGTCCTTTGGGATGTCTACGCCAGGCACCTCGCTTGTGCCCGACTCCACAGCGGTACACTGGTTGTTTTTCGGCGTCAGAGCCCTACTGGTGATTCAAATTGGCCTTTGGTTTAGTTATCAACTCGCGCGGTTTCAAGCCCGCCGAACTTTTAGGCGTCAGCTTCGACGCCAGAAACTGCTCCCGCGGGAGGAATTCCAAAGAATCGCAGCGGAGCTGCGGCAGGGTTCCTCGAACGGTGGCGGAGCGACGACTCCATCCGACGAGGCATGCGTTATCTGCTTTGCTAAACCTGTGGTTCGACCGGTGGAACTACTGCCATGCGGTCACTCGGGTTTCTGTGCACAGTGCATTGTCGAGCTGTGGAAGTACAGCCGCCGCAATAAAAATTGCAGTCAAGACGGTGCGGGTTCTTTTTTTCGGCATGACGCTCCACTGATTTGCCCGTTGTGCAAGCAAGTGGTGGTGTTCGTTTGTCCAAACTGGATCGAGCGGGAGCCGTTTGGAATCGAAAATGGGGCATATGGGAACAGCTCAAATGTAATCGATGACGGCTGCCATAAGCGCCCAAAAGAGTCTCCGCAGCCAGGGGAGCTGATCAACTCACTCGACGAAGATGATGTGATGCTAGTGCTACGCTATAACATAGATTTCTTAGCCCACCGTAGCCACCAATGCGTGGTGAACAGGGTTGATTGGTGGGAGAAAACGCTCTACAGATGCATTTGGTGGCTAAGTCGAATTATTCACGCGAAGCTTTTGCCTTTTTTGGTGGGTCTTCGCATTGTGTTGCTCCACATGACAGTTTTTTTGTGTTTTATTTTGCCTAGTGAGCGACTCGTACATCTTACCAAGTTCACGTATCCTAGTTCATCACTGCTTATGTCCGGTGATACCTCAAGTAAGCCGTATTCCCGAATGAACTTCAAGTTTATAAACTTGCTTGAGGTTCCACTACTATGGCTCATTTATTACGCGGACGACATTTTATTCGTTTTCTCTTGCTGGATCTCCATTGGTCATATCTCGAACCGGCTCTTATTTTGGCACACTAACCTCGCCTAAAATGTAGGGGTGAAAAAAAGGTTCGAATGAAATAGTCTAGGGAAAACTTTACTTCAATAGCTATAGCCTGATATTTTTTAGCAAATTAAAGTGTGTGTATGTGTGTTTGTGTGTATGGGTGTCCTTGTATTGATATGGTGCATTCCTAAAAAAATAATTACGTTTCATTAACATACTTTTCTAAAGTTTCGATTGTCACGTGTTGTAGCTCTTATCTTTCTCAAAAGAGGAGGGTCAATGATTCAATGTGTTCGGGTCAAGCTAAGACACGACATATTCGTCCGTGCTGTATTATATATCACCTCTACTAATGCAATTTTTAGCACCCTATTTTATAACCTTTTCAAGAAAAAAAACGCATTGCGATGCCATAAAAGCCTCATCGTAATACATCGTGCTAATTTTTATAACCTGAGGTTGTAACGCTTCCTTTTTCCTCGCTTCAAATCCTTTGTTTGCATGATTATATGAAAAAGTATCTATTTGTAGCAACAATTTCTATACTGAATGGTGCTACTAAAGCATAGGTTTTAAGAAAAAATGTGTCCTCTATTTTCCTATCTCTCTCTTTCTTCTACACGCATAACGGGCTAGTATGGATGGATGTAAGAACAACAAGGAAAATACGCCTATTTATTCTCTTGTTTATTTTTATCCTCGAGGAGGGTGTTGTTGGTTCTTTTTACTCTCTTATCGGCGGATCTCTCACGCAATCATTCAAAGGAACAAATATAAAAAGGGACTTTTACAAACGGAGACAAGTGTTTGAATCATATAAGCGTCTAGCGGTCACACACTCTACTCGTCTATTGAGTATTGTTTTTAGGCAGAAAGAGTGGTACATTGAAGCTTGTGAGCGAGTGGAGCGTCTTCCTCCGTGGATTGGAAAGGGCAATGAGCAAAAACGATATGGACCCTAGCACAATGTCTCCGCTCCATCGTCATTGCTGCAGTTTGGCGGCAGCGTCCAAGCAACCTCTATCGAGGGAAGCGATCATTCAACACGCGAGCACTTACTACCTTTGGGAGCGGTTATACGGCGTCTGCCCTCCCTCTCGCACGCTTGACAACTTGGTATGCTGGATGAAGGGGGAAAAAGCTCCTCCCCCCACGCCGTTGAAGGGCGCCCGAGGACCGTCCGAACTCCCTCCTGCCGCGAAACTCATGGGAGCCGCGGAGAAGCAGCGAACAGACGACAATGGGATCCCACCCATTGCAGAGGCCTCCCACGACGCAACGAACGAAGCCACCTCTGTAGAAAATGCGGCGCCAGAAAACTCAGAAGCCATCGCCCCAGAACTCTTGGTAAATGAAGAGGTGGTGGAAAAGGCGACAGCCGATGATGCCGTCCTCACACCCCCACCGCCCTGCGGTGGGCGGGAATTCTCGCAAGAAAAAGCCAAACGGCCCCGTGCGTCGTCTGAAGGAGATGACGACGCACTAAAAATGCGTTGTTTGGAGCCCGCCAAGGGCAATGCCTTTGTGGAGAAGTATCGTGAAGTGGCGGTGGAGAATACTCCAAGGCGAAGCGAGGCCTCGAAAAGTGCACATCGCGAGCAATCTTCGAAAGGCCATCGCGAATCCCCCGTCGATGTCTCCCCTGCAACCCGAGGCCCATCAAAAGAGATGGAAGGTGAGGTCGTCGCCTACGATGGTTTCAGGGCGCCGCGCTCTCAAGATGAACTTTCAAACCGCTCGTTAGCGAACAAACATCTGGACACGCTCTTCACGGTATCCCCCCCCGCCAAGCGCAGCTCACCCAGCAGAAGCAACCCTCCGGAGAATCCAAGGGATGCCGGGCCTTCATCCATGCCGAACGACGCTAATGTGGAGCCTCCTAGCGTGTGCGGCGATCGCGAGGCCTCACGAAGCACCAACGAGCCCGCATGCGTGGAAGATTCCGCGCCGCACGCGCTATCTCAGGAGGCATTGGCAGACGCCTGGCCTCATCATCGCTCACCCGCGGTGGAATCTTCGCACGGGGAGCCCCCGGCGACGTCGTCGGAGGCGCCCGCGAGGGAGGCTCGTCGATCGCGCGTAGCCGCCACCCCATCGAACGAACGGGAACATCCGGTTGAGGCGGGTGAAACGGGCAAACCCACGCGCTCCGCGTCATTGATTTTCTTCACAAGAACGCCCTCATCGTCGTCGTCATCGTCGGGGTCGCCTCTGCGAGGGGAGGGGGCTTCCGGCGAGCCTCTGCCGGAGAAGAAAAGCAGCGGCCGTGGGGTGGTGGACCTCCCCCGAAGGGAACCCCGCGAGGTCTCCCCATGGCGTTCTTTTTCCACCTCTCCCCCCCCTCCCCCTCCGCGGCGAGGAGGGCCCTCCCCCCCACCGCTGCCACCCTCAGCGGAGGGACGGCCGCGCGTCGTCGAGCGGCATCGCCACGGCAGCGCGAGCAGCCGAAACGAATTCGACCTCCCTCTTCGCGTGGTGACGCTGAGCAAGGGGAGCCCGCACGGGACCTTCCCTCCTTCCTCCCTCTCGGTGATAACCGAGGGGGAATCGCGCGACGAGGAGGCCTTTCCGCCGTTCTCGAAGTCGACCTCACGGAATTGGCGATCGCGATCACAAAAAGGACTTGAGAAGGGGGAATCCGGCGGCGCGGTGCCCTCGGTAGGGGAGGTGGAGGAGGGTTTTGACGATGGCAAGATAGAAGGCGCTCGCCACGCCCCTCATCTCGCGCTGGAAACGACGATAACCTTGGCGGACGTGCGCGTTAAAGACAAGAAGCGTAGCCGAGTGAACCACCCCCAACGCGGCCCCCTCATCTCTCACAAAAAGAGGCTACGTCGAATACACAAATCCATCCCGAACGAATTTACGCTTCCACGCGCGTTCTCTGCGCCCGTCACGGAGGTGGAGGCAAAAAAATCAAACCCTAGCATGAACACGTGGAAAGCAAAGAAGGTTGTGAATAAGGGTGCATCCCTTGCTGCTGAAAGAATCAAAAAAAATGAAGAAAATCATTCAAAATCTGGAAAGTCTCACAAGAATAAATAGTAATGGACAAAGTAGGACCCTTACCTCTGTTCATGGAATTCACCGTCGGATGGTATCAGTTATTTTCCGTTCGTCAAACAAGATATGAATGCAGAAGCGCAGCGATACCCACCTCTACAGCCGATTAGAGCAGCTTTGAAAAGCGCCATTTGAGCTAAGGGGAACCTGATTTCTATTCCATTGGCTGCGCTACCGTTGGGTTTCAGATAAAATATGGACCAGTTGTCTTATTTTTTACTTTATCTTAGTTTAGATCATCACTTCATGTCTTGCGTAGGATACTGTGGTTCTGGGAAGAGGAAGTGGGTGTTCTTGCATGCTCGCGTCCGATCCCTGCGATAGAATAGATAAGGATACGTCAGCACTCATGAAACCACAAGGAGAAAAATCCACGACTTAACTAGATGGGATTCTCTCCGTGCGCAGTTGCAGGGGCGTATTGCTTTTTTAAACCCCTTCTTACACAACCGCTAATCTTGGAAAGAATGTTCAGCAAATCCGAACAAAAGGATAAGCCGTAATGCAACTAACCTAATGAAGAAGGGAGAGAAGTAAAACTTCGTTTTTTTTTTCACCCAATTGAATCTCGCATCGGTCTAAACCTCAACCATTCAAGCCCCGACGCGCCAAGCGAAGGATAGTCTACGTATTGAAACCTCTCACACACACACACACGACACACATCACCTAAAGGAAAAAGAAGACCGAGCGGGAAAGCAATTCATGCCGAGTGGGGTCTCCTCGACACCCGTGGTGAAACCGCCCCCGCTGACGGCGGAGGAGCAACGCGCGCGGGCGGCGCGGCTGCAGGCCGATCACGAGGCCTACATCGGCTCCATCGCGACGATGCGCAACCTCCCACGACTCCGCTCCACCATCGCCGGGGCCGGGGGAAAGACAAACGAGCAGGCGAGGCTCGCGGAGGAGC